TAAGTTCCCATTGAACAATTTTTGTACAGATTTTTCAGTAACATTCGTTATAATTTTCACCATGTATCAACATTCTCATTATTTCCATTCTGTTTGTTCTGTTTCCATTGATCTTGTTTCCCTTCCCCTCATACTTATTTATCTTTGCTTTTGGGTAAATGTTGACTATTTGATCTCACATAGTTGATTGTTATCGGAACACATTAATCATGGGTGATAGTATTTATTTTATAAGCCAATCTACTATTTGGCTGAGAGCAGAAACAGCTTGAGCTGCAAGTTCAAAGGCTATCTTAAAGAGCAATAGTACCAGTGGTCCTGCTAGTCTCTTTTGGTACAGTAGGTCTGGCTTTTTCAGGAATTGGAATGTTTCTCCCACTTCATCCTGGACTTTCTATTGTGTCCTTGATCAGCATAGTCAGCGGTGGTAGCTGGACATCATCTAGTTCTTTTCATTGAAGTGTTGTCTTTTATTCTAGCAGGCAGTTCAATTACTAGCCAGTCACTTTGGATTTTTTGAGAGTTTTTTTTGTTTTGTTTTTTTTAATGCTGCTGAAGTTTTGCTTTAAATCCCCAGACAAAGATCTTAGTTTGGAGGATAGCCTTTGGGGGGGTAATGGGAAGCTTGAGGTGACTATAGGGTCCTTCATACCTGATGGGTCTTACATTTTGAACTCTCTCTCTACTGCAGGTGGCCAGCAGCTGAGCTTTCTGCTCACTTTCAGCCACACAGCTGTTGCTTTTCACTGAGTTCCTAAGTGTCTCCCCTGCTGCATGAATAATTTCTTTAAGAACAGTCAGTACCAGGCTGGTCTCTGTGAGTTGGAGGTTAGAGATAGACCAACTGTTAGGCTTTTCCAACGTTATACCCCTTCATAGTCCCGGATACCAATCACCACTCCTCCCTTCCCTCAAGTCCCAGGGTTCAGTCCCAGGGTTCAGTCCCAGGGTTCTGCAACACGCTGCAATGGCTCATGAAACTGTGGAAGCTGACAAGTCCCAAATCTGTAGTTCAGAGTTCAGGTTCAGGAAGCATCTTCTCACCCACATAGACTCAGGAGCTGAAGAACCCAATCGGCAGGTCAGATGACAGACTGATTTTACACAAGGCTGTAGGAGCTGGTGAATCAGGTCAGGTGATGGGCCGAAAGTCCCACTAACTGGAGGTCAGATGTCATGAGCCATGCAAGATCCAGGGCAAGAAAGCAAGTTTTTCCAAAGCAGGCTTATAAACTGGAGTAGGATCAGAACCCCAAGGGGAACTAAGGGTGGTGACTTGAGTCACACCCTCTACTAAGGTGGGGCATCCTTAATCCTTAGCCCCACCATAATCTCTTACTCCTTAGCAACTCATTTCAAAACAGGTCCCTGATCACAGGTATAGAGGCTAAGATTTACAGTATATCACAAAATGGAGAAATTTGACTAGAAGGGTCATAATAAATAATTAACTGCTCTGCACTTGTAAATGTGCTATTCAGGGATCAGGCAAGGATTTGAGGGAATTCATGCCAATTTGGTGGCTAGCCTCTTGAGAGAGATACCTTCCTTTATGGGATTTGTCATCTCAATTTTCTGTGGTTTTGACAGCTCCATACGCTAGCTTCTGACATATCAAACAACTTTCTGTTCATTTTCTAGCTGCCCCACAGTGCATAGACTGGGGAGGTACCCTCAGTGGAAATGTTGTAAATGTATTCCGTACCCTTCTTTCTGTTTTTGCCTGCTTTGGGTCATGTTCAATTGCCTCCAAATCCTTTTTTTTTTTTTTTCCCCCCCTTCATGTATTTTCTCCAGACTCCGTAGTTGCTATCTGTGGGAGAGTTAGTCCAATACAGGCCATTCTGACATCACTAAAACTAAGAAATCTGCCTTTTTCTTCAACAAATAGTATTCGTGGTGCTGTGGGTTAATGTGTTAGACTGCAGAGTTAATTTGAACTGTAAGGTTGGTGGTTCAAGCTCACCAACTGCTCCTTGAAAACTCTATGGGTCGGAACTGATTCGACCACTTAACAACAATTACAAATACGTTCTCTCCCTTGTTTTCCTTATCTAGAATTAGAGTCTAGATACCAGTCCTAAGAATATTATGATATGCCTATTCCTTTTTACAGTTGCATAGTACAGCATTGTTTAGATAGACTATAATTTATTAAGGACATCATGGTATGGAGCTGTAGGATCAACACTAGACTGCGAATCACAAGATTGGCAGTTCAAGCCTACCAGCTGCTCCTCAAAAACAAGTTTTTTCTTGGTAACTACTCCAGTGACTGAGTACTTTTGAGTTCATGGCAGCAGGTTGTATAATAACCACATGCCTTCCAGCAGATGATGTTTGAATGATCATGAGCAACTTTTCTTTTGTTCACTGTCCTCACTGATAGGTAATATCTAGTACTGTTGTTGTTGTTATGTACCGTGGAGTCGGTTCCGACTCATAGCGACCCTGTACAACGTTTCCAAGGCTGTAAATCTTTACGGGAACAGAAAGCCTCAGCTTTCTCCCGCGGAACAGCTGGTAGTTTCGAACTGCTGACCATGAGGTTCGCAGCCTGATTCGTAACCACTACGCTACCAGAGCTCCTAATATCTAGTGCAATTATTTTTAAAAAAGGAACTGTCCATTTTCCTATAAAAATATTAAGAAACCATCACTCGGCTCTGTTTACTGAGCTTATCAGATTCCCAGGTCCCATTTTAATGTTATTCATGTAACTATAATCTTAATGGGCAAAGGCGATCTCTTTGGCTTGCTTTTTGTAGAGCCATGGTTATAATAAGTTTTTGACCAGAACAGTGATAGCAATCATGCTCATTCTTTTGGTGAGATAGTTCTGGGAACCAATGTATGGAACCCTATGTTGTTGTCATTGTTGTTATGTGCTGTGGAGTCGGTGCCGACTCATCGCAACTCTGCATAGGGTTTCCAAGGCTGTAAATCTTTACAGGAGCAGAAAGCCTCATCTTTCTCCCACGGAACAGCTGGTAGTTTCGAACTGCTGACTGTGAGATCATCAGCCTGGTTCGTATAGACTTCCTTATGGAACGCTATAGAAAGTTCCATTTTCTATCCCTTAGAGCCTTAGCAGGAACTCCTGAAATATACGTTGGTCCCCCAGCCCCAGAGCTATTTCTGTTGCTGAGCTGTGTATACTTCTGATGGTGTCTTTGCTCAGATGTCATCAGCTTGAAAGTTCCAAGTGTCAAGGGTAGAAGAATTGTTGGGGTTGTCCATCGTTCGTCTTAGGACACCTACTTGTCTGAGTATTCAGCATGTCTGGGAATGTAGGAATCATGTGCTGCTAGATGTTCTTTCAGGTACAATCAGATTATCATTCTGTAAACTAGGGCTACTATTCATGCTTAGAGCAGGTTTTGACATGGAGTGCTGGTGTGGCACTATAGATAGGGTAAGCACTGGACTACTGACCATAAGATCTGCAGTTCAAATCCACCAGCCACTCCTCAGAAGCCTTATACAGGATCACTATAAGTCAGAACTGACTCCATGGCACTTAACAATAACAACGAATACTCTTTCAAGCCCTATACCCTAGGGATACTGTTCATGCTTAAAGCATATTTGACATGTCCTGAGTTTCTACATAACAGCGTGGCAGCATAGTGACATATAGACTCTGAAATCTGACAGGAGCCTGCATCCTAAACCCCTAACTCGACTTTGACCCTGAATACGGATGTTAATTCTTCGTGCTCCAGTTTCATTACTGGTAAAATAGTAGTAGTGGTGTTACTTAGTGCTAAGATGTTTTCTGAGTTCTAATCAGTGCTATCCAGTGCATAGCATATAGCCATTGCTTTATCAGCATTATCATTACTGTTATCATTAATAGCAACAAGTCTTGAAGGTAGTAAATATACAAATTTGGTTGTGAAAAATGTAAGTCTGTAACTCTGAAAGTCACAGAGAAGAATCAAGTGAGTAAAAGACAAAACAATGAAAGTTGGGCTTCATTGCCTTTATAAGCCACTGTTGTTAAGTGCTGCTGTTGAGTCGGTTCTGACTCATAGCGACCCTGTGTACGGTTTCCAAGGAGTGTTTGAACTGCAGACCTTGTGGTTCTAACTTCAGTGCTGATCCTACAGTGCCACACCAGAAGTCCTATAAGCCACTTGTTGTTGTTGTTGTTGTTAAATACCATCGAGTCGATGCCAATGCATAGCAATCCTGTATAGGGTTTCCAGAGAGCAGCTGGTGAGTTTGGACTTGCAGTCCCCAATGCATTATCCTGCAGTGCCACAACAGGTCTCCTAGAAGCCACTGTTATTCTTCTTGTTGTCAAGTTGGTTCCAACCCATAGCAACCCTATATAGGATTTCCGAGGAGCAGCTGGTAAGCTTGAATCACCGACCTTGAGGTTCAAACTAACTTTGCAGTCCAGCGCATTAACCCACAGCACCATATCCGGACTCTTAGTAGGTGACTAATGAATTGTTTGTGGACATTCTTAGCTTGTGTTGTGGTAGGGAAAGAATTTTAAGTATGAGCACTTGAACATTTTTAAGCAGTGAAAAAGATGCACTGAATCTGGGAAGAAAGGTCCTACTCTGTATTTCCATATGCACCATTGTTTGCTGTATGTAGAACCACAGCTAAGTCACTTTCCATGAATTCACAGGGTCTGTGATTGTCTTTCCCTCATCTACAGATAATTGTGTCCAGAGAACCCCGAGACCATCTGTGGATAATGTACACCACAACCCACCTACCATTGAACTGTTGCACCGGTCCAGGTCACCCATCACCACAAATCACCGGCCTTCTCCCGACCCTGAGCAACGTCCCCTCCGGTCCCCCCTGGACAACATGATCCGCCGCCTCTCACCAGCCGAGCGGGCCCAGGGACCGAGGCTCCACCAGGAGAACAACCACCAGGAGTCATACCCTCTGTCCGTGTCTCCCATGGAGAATAATCACTGCCCACCGTCCTCGGAGTCACACCAGAAGCCATCCAGCCCCCGGCAGGAGAGCACACGTGTCATCCAGCTGATGCCCAGTCCCATCATGCACCCCCTGATCCTGAACCCCCGACACTCCGTGGATTTTAAACAGTCCAGGCTCTCCGAGGATGGGATGCATAGGGAAGGGAAACCCATCAACCTCTCTCACCGGGAAGACCTGGCCTACATGAACCACTTCATGGTCTCCGTCTCCCCGCCTGAGGAGCACGCCATGCCCATTGGGAGAATAGCAGGTGAGTGCACGCCCTTCTCAGCGCCACCTCAGCACCAGGGGACAAGACCCCACTCTCTCTGTCCGCATTGTTGTTGCGCTGCCTTTCAGTCAGCCTTCAACTCACGGTGACCCCAGGTGCTACAGCATAGAAATGTGCTCCATAGGGGTCTGTTGGCTGTGATCTTTATAGAAGCAGATCACTAGATCTTTCTTCTGTGGAGCCACTGGGTGGTTTTGATTGCAAACTACTGGTGCCACCCAGGCTCCTGGTGCTCTCTCTGTAGAGCCTCACAAGCTAGCCTCACACCGTTCCCAATTAGGGGCCCTCACAGGCTCTGTGAGGGCACATAGAGGCTTCTGCCTGGATGATACGAAATCCCTAATGGGATGGTTAATGAGCCGCTAGGATGGAGTAGTTAATGAGCCTCTGAAATGTTAAGAAACAAATGTCCTATGTCCAGCTGACAAGGAGAGTCACATCAGAATCATGGCTAAGTGAAAACATTTAAAATAAAAGGTTTATGAGCATGTTAATGGCCTCATCCTGAAGTTCCCAGCAGCTAATTAATGACCAGGCACAGCATAAAGAACCTTTGTCTGAGATTCAGGCCTGTAATTCCATCCTATGGTCAGTAACTCAATGAAGTCTTCACCTTGGAAGGAGGTCAGAGGAGAAAACAGGCTAATAGTGTTTGAGGCAGGTGTTGCTGGGTCATTTGGCCAGAAGAAACCACTCCCAGACACTTCCTTTTGTGATGAGGAGCCTCAATTTGCAAGAAATGAAATGAGTGAACAAATCTATGCATTTTATTTTTGCTGGTCTGCTCATAATTTGCATGAAGCCATCCTTCCAGAAGGCTTAATCCTCCTACCACTTGGTAAGGGTTAGCTCTTTTCTTCCAGCATCTTCTTATGTTAACATTTGTTGAGCACCTACTATGCACCTAACAATGCATTAGGAAGTAGACAATACAGAGCTAAGTGAACACACAATCCCTTAGCTCAAGGTCCTGAAAATTTGGTAGGAAAGACAGATGTGAAAAGCACTAATGAAGATATAAAACAGAATGAAGTGAGGCCATTTCCCATTGGTTTACTGTGCGAGCATCCATTGAGCACCCACTGTGTGCCAAGATAATACAGTGCTGTTGAAGCAGAACAGACAGAAGGTGCATTTTGACAGGAGGAACTGAGGAAGGCTGTGCAGGGGAGGTAGACTGCAGCTGAAGGAGATTATGTTTTCAGCAGTGGTACAGGGCTTGCCACACTGAGGAGACAGCAGGAACAGAATCCAGTACAGAGAAAGGTGGGCTGGAGGGTAGGGCAGGGCTAGTACAGACAGAGCATCAGGTACACCTACTTTATCAACATTTTCTCAGCCTACAGAAATGTGTTGGCCTGTGTCCCCCTACTGCGTTTCTTTATTTCTTTTTTTTTTTAAGTTTTTATTGTGAACTGAGAGTTTACATGGGAGAATATCGGCTTTACACTGTCATTTCATTGCAGTGATTACAGTCTCCTCCATGCATCATCATTCAACAGTATTTGCTTCCATTCCCTCTTTTGTTGTTGTTTGTTTACAAATCGGGCTGCGAACCTTAAGGTCAGCGGTTCGAAACTACCAGCCGCTCCGCGGGAGAAAGATGAGGCTTTCTACTCCCGTAAGGATTTACACCCTCAGAAATCCTGTACAGGGTCGCTATGGGTCGGAACCGACTCGACGGCACTTAACAACAACAACACAAAAATTCAGAAATACATAATAATTTATAAACAACCAAAGGGCACATTCTGCAAGCCTGCCTCCAGGCAGCCAGCACCCAGTCCTTCTCTTTATGTGAATCCAGAGTCCTCAGCTGCTTCCTCTATCTCATCATCTCTGCCTCTGTCTCTGGTGTCGCTGCTTCTCTGGATAGGGTCCCACATTCCGCTCATGGTCGTATCTCTTGATGGTCCTAAGGTCCTCTGTTTCTGAACTGTAAGATTAACTACTCACCTGTTTTTTTGTGTGTGTTTTTTTTTAAGGTTTATTATTGTGGATTGAGTGAAAGTTTACAGGGTGTATCATCAGTTTTACATTCAACAAATCATATACCTTGTTTCATTACATTGATTATAATCCCTCCTCCATGTACCATCAGTTAACAGTATTCCTTTCTATCCACTTTAGCTTTTTAAAAAACCACTCAGGCATATATAATAATTTACATCTCCAAAGGGCACATTCTGCAAGTCTACTCCTGGCCACCAGCTCTTCATCCTTCTTTCCTTAGTTGATGAATATAGAGTCCTCAGCCACTCCCCCTTCATGTCCCGCATGCTGCTTGTGTGTTCCTCTCTTGATGGTCCTACGGTCCTCTGTTTCTGGACTGTAAGATTAACCACTCCCCTTTTTTTTGTTACAAAACTTCTACCTTATAATTGTGACAGTCGCGATTAGTCACGATAAGTTACTCACTATTGAATCTTACGAATCTTATCCCCATCTCTTTTCACCAGACCCATCTAGACAAGATGACATCTATTCTGTGGGGACTTTCTTTCCCCCTATACTGTTAAACTAAACTCCCTCTTGAAAACTTGTAAACTAGTCACTTCATGCCTTTACTGCTCCCTCATTTTAGGTAGCCAGTGTCTAAATTGCCCGTCCCTATCTACCCTGTGTACAGAGGGGAGATAGCATTGATACTTGATGTGAAGACTCTTTCCCTCTCTGTTGGTATTTAGAGTAACTACCGCTCTGAGTATAGGTCAGGTTCATCATAAAGATGTATCTTCTGTCACTGTAGCTCTTCCAGTCTGCTTGTCCTCGGTAGTGGGAATGTCCCATCTCATAAGGTTCAGGATGGGACTCAGGATTCCACCTAAGGTCCTATACTCTAAAGGCTTTGCATGAGGCCTATTTCACTGGAC